CGTTTTTTAGCAGCTACACTTGGAAAACTATGGTGAACAAGATCACTCGATGAAGCTCCATTAGGATAATAAAAGGTTGGGTGTGGGTGTGGGTGTGGGTGTGGGTGTGGGTGTGGGTGTGGGTGTGTGGGTGGGTGTGGGTGTGGGTGTGGTGTGGGTGTGGGTGTCGGTGTGTGGGTGTGGATGTGGGTGTGGGTGTGTGTGGGTGTGGGTGTGTGGGTGCGTGTAGTTCTTTGAACCCACAGCCACAGCGACACCCACCCACACCCACCCACACCCACACCCCACACCCCACCCACACCCCATCCACACCCCACCCACACATCCACACCCACACCCAAACCCACAGCGACACCCACCCACACCCACCCACACCCACACCCCACACCCCACACCTCACCCACACATCCACACCCACACCCAAACCCACAGCCACAGCGACACCCACCCACACCCACCCACACCCACACCCCACACCCCACTCACACATCCACACCCACACCCATTGCGACGGTGACGCGGCAGCGGCAGCATTTTTTCAAGAACTTTGAAAAACTGCATGAATTTGATAGAGTTTCAGTGTTTACAAATGAAACACTCTGAGATTGAATGAATCTAATGCAGTAGTACCAACGTTTCTGGTCCAAAGCAGTCACGACGGTGAAATTCGAAATATTTTCTTGAAAATCATGGCAGCGGCAGATTGTCAGCCGAGTTGGACATCTCTGCTCCTGTGAGCAGTAAAAAGATGTAACACCACAACGCATCTATACAATCATACAATTCAAGTCCTCAGTTCATTACTATAATTATGCGCATAGATAGTAAGCATCCGCATCATAGTAGACATTTAGTATTACATAGAAGAAGAAAGAAAACGACCAAATGTATACAAAATACATACAACATGGAAGATGCAAACACATGCTGCATCAAAGGAGAGATAAGCTAACGGGTGAGGCAAAAGTTTTGCATAAATTTTGTTGTTGATATAACTCTGCGATGGAATGTCGTAGCGACTTGATCGTTTTTTGTTAGAAAGAGCAAAGTCTCTAGTGGAAAAATATATAAAAGAATTTGATTGGAAAAGTTTCTTGAAGATCACGAAAATCCTAGAACAAAAGACGCTGAAAAACTCTTCCGCAACTTTTTTTTACACAGAAAAAGTTCTCTATAATAAGACAGGTTATCTTTTTATTTGTGTAATTTGAATTTTATGATGTACGGATAGAGCACTGTTGCTGTACAGAAAAAGAAAATTTCTACATGCCTTATGAAAGTCGAAATGATCAATTTTATGGTATTGCTTGGAACACCGATTTTGCATCACTCTCGATAGCAGTTGAAAAAATAAACTTCAATTCGAAAGAGAAGTTGTCAGAAGCTATATATTTTCTATGAAAAAGAAAGCTTATTGGGTCCCCTACCAAACGAAATTATTTTTAATAGGACGCAGTGTTGCTGTGAGATATACAGACAAAAGTTTGTTTTCACGTTAGAAAGCCATATTTGAACAGTTAATTTTTTAAAATAAATTTGTCTTCTATTCATAGTCTTGGATGCTACACCGATTATTTGAATACCAAATGAAAACTTTCGTTGTAATGAACAACTGCATGTACATGATGCTCGAAAGTGGACGACAGAAAAGCTGAAACAAATATTTTTAGATATCAAAAAAATGACCAAAGTTGCGGAGGAGTTTTTTAGCGCCTTTTGTTCTAAGATTTTCGTGATCTTCAAGAAACTTTTCGAATCAAATTCTTTTATATATTTTTCCACTAGAGACTTTGCTCTTTCTAACAAAAAAACGATCAAGTCGCTACGACATTCCATCGCAGAGTTATATCAACAACAAAATTTATGCAAAACTTTTGCCCCACCCATTAGTATACTGATATCAGTGCTACATATAGAATGCCTATTATAAGCTTGTTCTAGAGGTAGTGGGGTAACCAGAAAAAGCCGGGTGGTTGGGCTCACGGTGAGCTCTATGCAATGGAAAAGAAATCAAACGCATAGCACTTTCCGTTAAATTGTTATAGACCTCGACATTTGTCTCATTACTTTTGCATCGCACATTATTTTTTGTTAATGCATTATTGTATGCTTCAGAGAATTTTGATGTGAAATTTCAACATCGATTACATCATTGGGCACTGAAAAAATAAAATTTCATTATTTCGTAAAAGATTAATCTAAAAATAGGGTCATACTCACGAAAAGTAGAGACCAATAGTATTTTGCTTCAATCATTCGATACCGATTTTAGTTGATCTGCTCCCATCCAACAAATTTTCACCTATAATTATAGTTATCAACGATTCTTCCTTGGTTTTGTCTTACCCAATATTTGCCACATGATGACTTACAGGGCGAGCAAACAAAAACATCGATGAATCAAATGTTTTATTATACGGCTATACGAAGAGAATGAAGAAAAAAGTAAGGGTGATGTGTTCGTGTTGATTCTCGTTTTCATTGTTAAACAAAGTGGTTACGTTGAAAATAATCTCTGGTTTGCACAAGAATAATTTCCGATAAGAGATTTCTTTTCATAAAAAGTATATAAACAGAAAAACTCGATAGTATGCAAATGCTGATATTGCACTATATAAACGATAAAAACAGCTCACCACGCTGGGCCAAGACAGAAGTCAATTAGAAGATGACAACATATATAACATTGATATTCTATGATATTAACAGTATTAAAGAAGACATCTGTAATGGATTCAGTAAATATCCATGTATCTTCTTTGATGATCAACAAAATTGTATTGATTATATTGTATCAAAATCAAAAAGTGAAACACTTTTTTTAATAATATCTATGGTAAGTGCTATTGAAATCTTACCAAATATACATGGTTTAAGACAATTAGATTCAGTATTTATTTATTCAAATGGAGAAAATGATGAAAAATTATTAAATAAATATTCGAAAATAATCGGATTTTTTTCTCAAGAAACAGATTTATTTCAAACTATTGAAGAAAATATTGATTTAACTATTAAATCAATTGAATCATTTAAATTTTATGAAAAACACCAAAAATCAACTCGTGAATTAACAAAAGAATCAGGTTCATTTCTTTGGTTAAGATTATTCAAAGATGTCGTTTTAAAATTACCACATGATGAACAAGCAAAAGAAGAAATGATTAACAAATTAAAAGAATATTATCATAATAATAATTGTCAATTGAAACTAATTGAAAAATTCAGTCAAGAATATAAATCTGAAGATGCTATTAAATGGTATACAGGACAACCATTTTTATATAAACAAATAAATCGTGCTTTACGTACAGAAGATATCAATTTGTTATACAAATTTCGTTATTTTATATCTGATCTTTCGAAAGCTCTTCTTAGTGAATATCAAATATTAAAAGATTCATTTGATTCCAAAACATTTTATCGTGGTGTTAGATTATCAAAAGAAGAAGCAAAAATATTACAAAAAAATGTTGATAAACTCATATCTACCAATGGTTATTTATCAACAAGTTTTAATAGAGAAGTTGCTTTAGCATTTACTGATAAATCAACAGATACAGAAATAAGTGTTTTATTTGAAATTGAATGTGATTTTGTGAACACTAACTCAGTTATAATGGCTTCTATAGCTCATTATAGTAACAGTTCAGATGAAGAAGAAGTTTTATTTGATTTAGATGCAACATTTCAAATATTATCTATTGAAAAGGATTCATTATTGAATAGTTTAATAGTTAAAATGAAAGTGACTGATGAAGGAGCTGCACTTGCTCAAGAATATATTAAATATAATAATCAAAGATTTATGACGACAAGTGTAGTCATTATGTTTGGTTATCTTTTAACTGAAATTGGACAATATGACAAAAGTGAAAAATATTTTCAACGTTTATTAGAAAATCCAAATGGAGAAGATCTACCCGTTATTTATTGTTATATGGGTGCTGCCAAAAGTCATCAAGGAGATTATGAAACGGCATTGAAATATGATCAACAATCATATGATATGTTAATAAATACGCAGCCTCCACGTGAATTAGCATCATCTTATGTCCTAAATGATATTGGTTGTATTTTCCATCGCAAAGAACATTATGATGATGCTCTTGATTATCATAAACGTGCTCTTAAAATTAGAAAAACTCATTCAGATTATTTTGGTATATCAAGTTCTTTGGGAAATATTGGAATAATTTATAGAACAGTTGGCAAATACGAAGATGCATTAGATTGTCTGAAAGAATGTCTCAAAGTAAAAGAAATATATCTTCCCGGAATACATAAAGAAATAGCAAATACATTAAGTATTATTGCTGATATATATAGTGATATGGATGAACCTGATAAGTCATTAGAATATCATCAAAGAAGTTTGAAAATAAACGAAAAATGCCTTCCAAATGGACATGAAAAGATTGCAATAAATTTAAATGACATTGCAACTATTTTAGGTAAACAAGAAAAATACGATAAAGCTTTAGATTATTTTATACGTGCTCTGAATATGAAAGAGAATATCTTTCCAAATGGACATTTAAGTGTTGTTTCAAGTTTAACAAAAATTGGATTTATTTATTACAAGAAAAAAGATTATATTCTTGCGCTTGATTATTTCAACAAAGCAATGAAAATGAGAGAAAAATTATTGTTGGGAAAAGATGATATTGCTTTAGTTGATCTTTTAACAAGTTTTGGGTTAGTTTACACGAAATTACATCAATATGGTAATGCGTTGGACTATCATATGCGTGCTCTCAATCGTAGTAGAATTATATTGCCTAGTGGACATTTTACTCTGACTGAATGCTTTACTAATATTGGTAGCGTTTATCGAGAAATGGAAGATTATCCAAAAGCATTTCAATATTCCGAAAGCGCTTTAAAAAATGAGAAGGAAAATCCCACAAAAGATAATTTGCTTCGATTAGCTCTAACTTATGATCAAATGGGAATTTGTTTATCTTGCCAAGGTGACATTGAAAATGGATTAGAATATCGATTAAAAGCTGTAAGATTACTTGAAAAAGTTTATCCTCGTATTCAATATGCTAATGCAGCAGATACTATTGGAGAGGTATACTTCGAATTCGAAGGATAAGATACTGCTTTAGAATGTTTTTTCATCAGTTTAAATATTAAATTAAAACGTCTTGCAATTAATGATATTCGTACGGCAGAAACTTTAATGAATATAGGTAATGTCTTTATCAAAAAAGCAGAAATTACTAAACAATATAAAATTAAAGCTCGATTTTACTATGAAAAAGCCTTAGATATTTATACAGCCAACAAACATATTAACACTATTCATATTTTAAATCGTCTTGGTGCTATTTATGAAAATATACACAAATACTATCTGGCAATTGAATACTATAGAAATGCATTAGAAAAATTCGAGAACTATTTTTTATCAGATGATTTTCTGAAACAGACATGTCAAAATAATCTTGCTCGAATTAAATGGTTAATTAAGTAACTTATGATTTGAGTTCTCTGATACAGAATTTTTTCCATTCAATATTAATCTATGCATTTTGTTATCAGAAATAAATGACTGAATTTACATCTAGTACAATATGAATTGCTACTTGAACCACTCCACAATATTTGTGCCATCGACGAGCATTGTTTCAACGATCGATGGTAGGCCTATTTATGACAGTTAATAAAGGATACAAAAAATCTATTCTTTCTTATATATGAATAATAAACCATTTCATAATCTAATTACTGTCAAGTGGTGAAAAGATAGTTGAGAAGTTTCATTAGCGTCCTTTTCTACAAACAACTCCTCTTCTATCTTCTGGAAATTCTCTGAATATTGAAGCTTTAGTCAACTCACATTCTAATATATACATGACCAATCTTCTGCATGACGTCACCGTAACTGTCTGAAGCCGATACCAGACCATACAAAGCACAATCCGTGATACAGCAGTTCATCCTTTTACTATTCTAACAAAAGGGATAAGCAAATTTCGACTCTTCCACACAACATCATCTCTTAGAATTCATTGTAAACTTTCATCTTCGCTTTTCTCTTTCTTGAAATCGGAACTAAAACCGATATACACAATATATGAAAATTCTACTTGGAACTCATGATAAGCGTTCATCAACCATGTGATTCCTTTCAACAAGGACGAAACCGGTTACGGTGCGCTTACTCACCCTCACCCTCAAGTTAGGGTGAGAATGGGAGTAATGATGAAGAGAAGATCTTTTTCACTCTCACTCCATCTTTGGTGATGTGCAATATGCTACAACTGGACGGTTATTCATTTTTTTCATCGAGAGTACCGAGTGCAAGTTGACTAGATACGTAAAATTTAGATCATGTTTCTTCAAGGCCTTATAATGCAACGAACAAAAGACAGTGAAAGATAATAACATAGATGTAGATAAGATAGTGTAGGAAAGCATATAAAGACCTATGTGTGCAGCTGTTTGTGTATACCTTTTTCAGTCGTTCTTCAGCATAGGATAATACAATGATTTCGCTACTTCAGTGTAGTACGCTGTTCTTGCTCCTATTTTGTTCAGAACACAATGGCGCTCTACTGCGTCCATTCGATGTACGGATCGATCACTACAAAGTTGACACAATTCGTGATTTAATTATTAATACTCCGCGTCCACGATTCTCATGGAAAGTGCCCGTTATCGATCATGTCTCCGAACGCAATATTCAACAAATAGCGTACCAATTTCAACTTCAGTCATGCGCAACATCAAAATTGAATCATAAATTCGAATACGATACTGGATATATTCGTTCTGCACAGTCGGTACACGTACCATATACTGGCTATAATGACCTGATGCCAGCAACAAATTATTGTTTTCGTCTACGAATTTGGTCAACTGCGTCTGAACAGCCAACTGCATGGACAAAGTGGATTCGATTTCGCACGTCTATATTTGATTTACATAACTATGTGACGAAGAAAGCGAACCTTCTTTGGATTGGCTCGACCCAAATCACCATGAACGAATTACGAAAAGAATTTATGGTACCCAATGTTAGTCCGATTAGGATGGCCGTTGCTTACATTTCTGGTATAGGCTATTACGAACTTTTTCTCAATGGTAATAAAGTGGATCCAAGCCGTAAATTGGATCCTGGTTGGACTACTTACGCGAAACGCACACTATTTGCCTCGTTCGATCTAACACAAAACATTACGGTTATTATAACTGTCTTCTTTTATTATTTTATTTACTAGCTTTCTTTTAGGCTGGTATGAATGCGGTAGGAGTAAAATTAGGCAATGGCGCGTACAGTCCAGAACAGAATGGAGGAGTAGCCTATGGTCAATATCTGAGATCCTATCTTTTCAATTAAATATATCTCTTCACTATTTTAGGTGCACCCCGTCTTCTTTTTTTCTTGAATATCACATTCGAAAATGGCGATGAAATGGAAGTTTTAAGCGATCAAACATGGGCAGGCCGTGAAGGATCTATTGTGCACGATAGTATTTACCGTGGCGAAATGTATGATAGTCGAAGAGATCGTTTGAACTGGACTCAAGTCGGATTCAATGATTCATTATCAGCTTGGATCATGCCTGAATCATTGCCGTCACCAGTTGATCCTGCACAGAATGGTACGCTTGTTTTGCAAGACATGCCACCGATTCGAGCTGGGTCAGATGCTTTACACTTTGAAACAACGATATCTGGAGAACAACAAGAATATTTGCATCGAAAAGAGATAGGTGAAATCAGGGGTGCATCATTGGCTAATGGTGGAATTATCAAACCCGTCCGTATGTGGACGGCAAACTCGGGTATAAGTGTTTCTCTTGAAAACATTCTAGATATTCATTTTTATAACCCACTTCAGATGATATTACATTTGATTTGGGCCAGAATTTTGCCGGATGGTGTCGCTGCAAATTCAATGGTCCACGTGGTGTAAGTGTCTTTATTCGTCATGCTGAAATACTGACACAACCACTCATGTCCACAAAGTAGAAAAAGAAGTTCTCTATTACGTACTTCATATTTGATTTTAGTCAATCTTCTGGCGCAATTAACGCTGAAAATCTCCACGCAGCCGTCTCTACGGATATTTACATATTGCGAGGCGATCCGAACGGTGAAGTGTACGAGCCAAGGTACAGATCTCAGTATTGCTATGTTATCACCTTGCATCATTTTTTTAATTATTTCTCAGTATTATCTTAGTTTTTGACCCTCACCCTCCCTTATCCTCGATGCTTTCATGAACTATGTCTTAATTGTTTTGTTTCACAGTTTCACCTACCATGGCTTCCGTTATCTATCTATTATGGGCTGGCCAATATGGCCATCGATCAATGATGTGGAATGTCTTGTTGTGCACAGTGAAACAACAGTGAAAGGTCACTTTGTCAGCAGCAATCCAATTGTGAATCAAATCCAACACAATATTCAATGGAGTCAACTCAGCAATATCATGTCATTGCCCATCGCCTGGTTAGTCGTCTTAATGATTTGTATATACCATAGTTGAATTTTGCTTGTCTTACATTCTTTAGTCCACAACGTGACGAACGTCTTGGATGGATGGGCGATGCAGCATTATCAGTGGATGAAGCCTTGTACAACTTTGATTTTATCAAAATGTTCTTGAATTTTCTCAATTTGATCGTTGATGTTCAATTGAGCAACGGTGCGGTGCCTAACTATGTACCAGGATACTATTTTCCACCAGATCCCAACTGGGGCACTGCCTTACCTACTATCACCTGGCAACTCTATCGTCACTACGGCGATGTTCGTATTCTTGAAACCTACTACGATCATGTTCGCGCCTATGTTGAGTATATTCGCAGTGACTACAACTCCAAAGGTCTTGGCAACCTAACATATCTTTTTGGCGATTGGGTTCCACCTCCTCCACAACCAATGACAGATCAACATCTCACTTCATCTTTCGGTTTCCTTCATGATGTTTCCCTGTTAATCAACATGTCTCAAGTACTCGGTAAGACTAATGACACGCAGACTTA